ACGCGCACACAAAATTTCACACCAGTCTCAAAGAGTTCAAAGATCCCTGGCGTCCACCCACAGACAGGCAAGGGGTTCACAGACTCCAGTTTAAGAATCTGTCCTAGAGGATGGTGATTTCCTGTTGTTGGAACAGCCTAGGAGTCACTGAGCCTGGAAATTGAATTCTCATCCCAAGACAGGATGGTCATTCCAGGTCATGTCTGTGCTACTCCAGGGGAGCCATGGAAGAGCTTATACAAATAGGAACCAGCAGGGAGGAGAGAAATTAAAATGCAGCAATCACGGCGTCGGGGTATGTAATCTCTTTTAAGGCTTATGATGGGCGCCTGCTGGTTTTCCCCCCGATATCCCCTGACACCTACTGACAGGGTATTTGCAGCCCCGCACAGGGACTCGGGGCCCTGTGACAGGAGGAGCACTGAGGAGGTCCGTGACAGCCTCGAAACCATAAACAGCAATGGGAAGCCACTGGAGGCAGCGTCACGCTGCGTGATGCGCCCGTGGTTGGTGGCCATACTGCTTTTTGTTTATAGAATTTGCTGTTCTTTTTATGGCAGGTTTAGTAGGGTGGGTGTTTTTTTTTTTTTTTCCTTGTCGATGGAGATTAGCAGCATAAATCCTTTTATGGCGGCGTGCAATCCCCCATAAACACTTTTGATCGTTGCTAATGGTGAGTGCTTGTGTCTGTTCCGGGTTCTCTCCGTGCTCTGCCCATCCGGGCCTGTAGCTTCTCCAACCAGATAATGGAATCCCAGTAGCCTACCGTCCTTTTTAAGACTCCTTCGTTGGCGGGGGTTCAGTGAGGTGGGGCAGGTTTGATGTTGAGGGAAACAGATGTTTAATCGAGCCTGGAAATACGATGATGAGAACAAACCATACATTGTACTGTTTTCAAGCGAAAGGCTTCTGAAGACTGGGGGGCGAGAAGCAAGCACTGATGTGGAGGGTTTTTTAAATAGCTTTTTATAATGTTATCTAAAGTATCTTCAATTAACAATGCTGTATAATTAACATCTCAGCTCTGCCATACACAGTGTGTACAGGGCTACAGGGTGGGGAGCCTTTATAGTTCTGGTTCCCTAACACTGTCACCTGTAGGGACGTATCCCCACATGGAGGATTTCAGGTCTCCTGGGAGTGTCTCAGCATTTTTCCGATCTTCCCAAACATCTGGGCAAAAAGAAGTCAAACTTTATTGAAAATTGTTGATCCCAGGAATTCAGTTCCCTCTGCCATCCCAGAACTGAAATCCAAGAATCAGCAACTTAATAAAAATGCAGTAAATTAGCACCTCTAGACACGAGCAGAGTTCATTCAGAGCCGGGGTCTGCCTGGCTGAGCCAGTGCTCTCTCCATTTTAATAGTTTAATAAAAATTAGCATAATTAACGAACATCTGTATGATCCAGAGTGGTGCAATTTGGCACTTGGAAACGAGGGCTTAAACATGATTGCTGTGAGTTTAATGTTGTTTTAATTCTTTTTGGCACTGTGCAGTGAAATAAACGTTTGGTGGTGATAGTTCTCGGCCGGATCTCATTTGCATTTTTCTCTCTTTGATTATGAGCAATTGTGGACTCCCCAGCAATTCATCAAAGTAAAAATTATTTTAAAATACCTCGTGGTGTTCAGACTGGGCTGGAGCAATGCGTGGGGGGTGGCAGTGAAAGAGTAGGCTAGAAATTTTCCATTCATGCTTTAAGCGTCTCAGCCCTGCAGCCCTTTGCGGGTATCCAGCCAAGGATGAAATCTGGAAAAGGCAGTCAGATCCCAAGACCTGTGGGTGCTTTGATTAAGCTCCTCGGCTCCCCCCAGCAAGATTCATATGGTCTCTGAGACTGGGCCATTCTCCTTTCACTCCCGCCTGCTCTTTGGTTTTGAAGGGCAGAGAGTTGATTTCACTCATTTCGGTTCGCACCACTGCGAGAACTGCCACATCTGTGGTCGGCAGGGTCAGTGTGCCCCGCGAGCAAGAGCACGCTGACTGGGCGGCTGGCCTTCGCAGGTGCCCTGCCGGGCCTCATCTGCTTCCCGTTTGCACCCTCTCCGAGTTGGCAGAGAGCACCTTCCCGGGGCTCAGCCCCTACTCCTGGCATGACGGCTAAAGGCGGATGCTGCCAAGTGCGAGGCAGAGTAGGGGGCTTGAACGGTCCCCGGGGAGACAGTATCCTCTCGGACCCCCTCGGGTGATGACGATGACAGCACCTGGCAGGTGGGAGGCCAGTTCCCACGCATGTTTAAGCAAGCTGACCACGATCAGAAGACTGTCAGACAACACTGTGCCCCTGCACCCCGCCCGTAAGGTAGTGGAAGAGCTAAAGCTAAAGTTTTTATGAGTTACCACGAGACAGGAGGACGTGTTTCCCCTTCACAGCACGGCTCTGTATAGACACGGCCACTGCAGTGACCTGCTGACCGAGGCACTCCTACAAGAAAACTGACGGCAGGAACTGCCCCAACTTCAGTGTTGGGAGACGGACAGGAACATAACTTGTACCGATCGGAGCTTTAAAATGTTCTAACAGCGTAGGCTAAGGAACTCTGGGTAGTTTCCCGGAAGGCAGTGCAGACGGTAGGGGAGTCAGCCCGGGGGAGGGAGGGGCTGACGTGCGGTGGGGACAATGGGGGAGAGGCCGTGGACACAGTCATTTATTTCAGACTGACGTTTAAAAGTAGTGCTCTGTTCCTTTTTAGGACCAACTCAGTAGTCTCACTTCTTAGGCCCCTTGAGGCTGTCTTCACGGTGTTTAGGGAGCCGTGTGGGAAAACCGTTCCCAAAGGCAGTCGCTCTCTTCCTGCCACAACCGGTTCAATCGCCAGGGGGATATTTGGGAGTCAGTTGTAACTAGATCTGCTCAACTGGGAGTACGAATCCCCACTGCGCCCTTCATTTCTCCATAACCTCATTTAAGGATTTGGGGGGCCCCATTCTGTGCTGAGTGCTGGGACTACAACGGCAAAAGAAACCAACAAGACCCCAGCTCTCATAAAAACTTCCCTCTGATGACCGGCACTGAGACGAAAGCAGACCAGGACAAGACAGCATGATGGACTCGTTTCCGGGGAAGTGTAGGGCGCAGTGCTGTGGACCACGTAGCTGAGCCCCCCACCCCCCATGCAGAGATTGGCAAGGAGAGGCTTCTAGAGAATCTAGAAAGACTCAGGAATTAAGATCTGAAGGTTGCTCAGGACTGAGCTCAGGAAAGGGAGGAAGGACGTAGAGGCTAATAGGCAGGGGAAGGGCTCCGAGAGGAGAGAGCCTGTAGCCCATGGGAATGGCTGAGACCAGGTCTGTTTCACCGTGGGTCCAGCAGATCAAGGGGGTGAGCGGAAGTGCTGGGCGGTGGGTGGGACTAGGTCTCGCAGGGCCTTGTCGGCCTGGTTAAGAAGCTGACAGTAGGCAGTGGGAACCCACTTCAAGGTTTTGAGCACAGCAGTGATATTTTCAATGTGCATCTTAGAATAAATCTTAGAAAGATTCTAGCTGCAGAATGAAGAGTAATGGGAGGAGAATGGGTATACGGAACAGTCTGGAGGTTGTTCCCACAGTCCTCACGAGAAATGACAGTGACATGACTCTGGAGTATTGTCAGCGAGAATGGAGAGAAGTAGGTGGATTCCCATAATATTTTAGAAAAAGAACAGACAGAACTCAAGGACCGATTGGAAAAGGAGGGTGCAGCTGGGAATGAATGACTCTCAGGTTTCCGGCTGGAGTAACTGACTTTGTCGTGGTGCCATTCACTGAGAGAAGCCAGCAGATAAAGAAAGTTTGGGGGTGGGGCTGGAAACAGCAGCAGAGTGATGGGTTAAATTTAGGATCTGTGGAGTTTGAGCAGCTTGACAGACATGCACTTGGGTACTGGGAACCCATCACTCAGAGCCGGGCTGGAGTTCCGGCTGAGAGTCATTCACACGGACACAATGGCTAAACCGCAGAGGCGTGTGCTCAAGGCAGGTGCCCCAAGCCGGACAGCGAGGACAGAACCCTGGAAGACCTCCACAATGAAAGGAGGGGGAGAGGGGAAGATAAGCTCACAGAGGAGAATGGGAAGAAGTAACTGGAAAGTGGGAGGGAAAGTAGGAGAGTAGAATTACCATGGAAACTAAGAGGAGAAAATGCCTCGGGAAGGGTCTGCAGGGGCAGCACTGCTGAGAGATCAGGTCAGTTAGGGACTGAGAAGCACCCACAGGGGCTTGAGCAACAGGAGGCCATAGGAGACCATGGAGAGAGAGTGTAAGTGGGGCGGGGAAGCAGGCGCCTGATTAAACTGGCTTGAAGAGTGGATGGGAAGCCAGAAGGCGGGGCAGTGAAGTGAAGGAACCTCAGTAAGTTTGAATGGAATTGGCAATCAGCATAGACTACCGGACACAGAAAGAAGACATGTTGGGGGGACTATTTAGTGATTGTTTCCAAAGGTAAAAGAAACCTGAACACATTTCAAGGCTGATGGAAGGAACCATTTACAGTAGAGGCAGAGGTCCGACTCCCTAGAGCCTCGTTTCTAAGACAGTGGAAGGGTTATGACCACACGTGACAAGGGATGGTGTTAAACTAGGGGAGGACGCCCCTCCACGGTCATGGGACAGAAGGCTGGTTGTCAGCGCAAGGACGTTCCTGTCTCAGTGGCTGGCAGTTAAGTCTAACGGCTTCTCTTTTCCCCTTGGATGTGGAAAAGTGGTTATCTGCTGAGAGGGGGAGGAGAGGCAGAGTTGGAGGAGGGGAGCGACACTATCAAAAACAAACAAAAAGGCCCTGGCTGGCGTAGCTCAGTGGATTGAGCGTGGGCTGCAAACCAAAGGGTCACAGGTTTGATTCCCAGTCAGGGCACATGCCTGGGTTGCAGGCCAGGTCCCCAGTGGGGGCCACGTGAGAGGCAACCACACATTGATGTTTCTCTCCCTCTCTTCCTCCCTCCCTTCCCATCTCTAAGAACAAATAAAATCTTAAAAAAAAAAAAAAAGATAACCACTTGACCCAGAAGTTTTGTCACCAACCTGGTTTTGTTTCTTTCTCTTTCTTCTTAGTAGAACTCAGCAGCTAGATGTGGAGATGCAGATAGTCAACTCTGTGGCACCCCAGACGCAGTTGAATTGGAATACACTCTATTGCCCATGTATTCCTAAATTTTACTCCCTTCAAAGGAAACGTTTTCTGGTGTTTTCAGGAATACTCCTATCGTGTTCCACGTCCGCTGTGCCTTGAGCGGGTCTTCTGGGCTCAGGGAGCCCCATTCTCAACACCAGGACTGCCCCGCCTTCTAAACCCTCTCCTTTCCTGGCTTGTTTGTCCCTCCCTGTGGCTTTTATGTCCTGCGTGTCATCATCGATGGAACTGTCAGTCTCCACCTCTAATGTCGAGAGCACCTACTATGTATCAGACACCATGAATTGTTTTCACTTCTCTGACGTCACTTACATCCCCACAGCATAGGGGAGGGGCCGATGGCCTCCCTACTCTTACAGAAGGGGAAGTTAAAGCTAGGGGAACTGAGGCCACATGGCTACTAAGTGACCAAGCGGGGATTAGGTCCCAGTCTGTCTGACTCCAGAACCCATTACTCTCTGCTGTGAGCTCCCAGGGAGCAAACAATGTTCTGATTCATCATTACGTGTCTCACGGGAACTCAAACAGCACTTTGCCCGTAGATGGTGGTTGGTAAATATTGATTTGAACTCTGACCTGACTCCCTGAATTTTTTTTAGTGTTTTGACATTTTAGAGTGTGCCCAACTTTCTCTGAAAAAGCCATTCACTCTTTTTAGTTAAAAAAAAAAAAAAAAAAACACCTCTTCCGGTCCAGCAATGGCATCAAATGTGCCGAGTTTACAGTGTAGACAGGAAGATGGCAAAATGATGTTTGCTTTCCCCCTCTGGATGCCTTTTTTTAAAGATTTAATTTATTTATTTTTAGAGAGGGAAGGGGGAGAGAGAGAGACAGAGACAGACAGACAGACATCAATGTGTAGTTGCTGGGGGCCATGGCCTGAAACCCAGGCATGTGCCCTGACTGGGAATCGAACCTGCGACACTTTGGTTCGCAGCCCGCACTCAATCCACTGAACTACGACAACCAGGGCTGGATGACTTTTTAAAACTTAATAGTCTCGTCAAGGGCGTTAACAAGTCATCCTGATAGTGTCAACAAAGAAACCCCCCAACAGAATGTCCCGTGCAGTCACCGTGAGAGATGAGCAGAAGCATGACCAGATTCCGCCGCAACCATCCTCTTCTCGTTCTCCAGGAGTACAACATGTACGGCTGGTGGGTAGGAGAACTGCACAGCCTTGTCGGGATCGTTCCGAAGGAGTACCTCACAACTGCCTTTGAAGTGGAAGAAAGATGAAGCCCAGGTAGGGGGACTGTCACTGCCAATGCCTCTGGGGGCCGTGCCTGCGCTTCTCTGTGCAGGATGCGAGCTGCCAGGAAGCAGCTCCTCCTCATTTCCAAAAGTGATGCCAGTAGTTCACCATTGAAAGAAGGTGATTCTGGAATTGTTTTCCCTAAATGAGGGGACTGTGTCAGTTATGATTAAGGTTCAAACTACATGTGACAGAAAACTCAAAAATAACCGATGTCATTAACACACAAATTTATTTTTCTCTTCAGTAAAAATCTGGTGGTAAGTGATGCAAGGTATCTGAGTCCCAGACACCTTCTCTTGTTCCACGGTGCGTGGCCAACGTCCCTCAGGTTACCTCGTGGCCCACAATGGATGCACCAGCTCCAGCAATCACATCTGTTTCCTACCCAGCAGGAAAGACACAATGAAAAGAGAAGGGCACACCCTGTCCTTTCAAGGACGCTTTACAGTTGTCATACACACCACTTCTGCTTACATTTCTTTGGCCAGAACTTAAACAAACAGACACACAAAGCTGCAAAAAAGCTTCATTCTTGGTAGAACCTGTGTCTAGGTTAAAAGTGGAGGAGGGGTTCGTTAACACAGTGAAGAGGGCAAAATGGGTATTGCAGACAGCTAGGAATGCTTGCCACCAGCCACCAGCATGGGTCTGGGTGTCTGTGTCCCCAGCTTCAGACCCAGGCGGGCACCGCCTCCTCCAAGTGCCCGTGCATTAACAATGGCTGGCCAGGACCAGGGGCCCAGTATGAGGATTCCTAGGAAACAGAAATGAACTTCCAGGTCGTAAAGAATGTGACTTGCATTTTATGACCAAGAACCATATCATATTTTAAAACAGTGGAGTGCTTGCTTTGGGTGGGGTAACTTTGCACTTGCTTTGGCACAGAATGGATTTTGTTTAGAATTAGGATGGTGATGGAAGGCACCCCAAGCCAGCATGATGTCGCTAGCTCCATCTTCCAACCTATGGGAGCCAACTTTATTGCTGGGGGTGAGGGGTGACGTGTGTGACAGTGACACGAACTGTCCTCGGAACCTCCCGGACCAAGGCCCATTCCAGTGTGCAGCAGCAGCCGGGTGGATGTGCTGAGTAAGACACCTGAGGACTGATCTGACTTCCCAGTGCCCCTGCACAGCCAGAAAGCGGCAGCTCGGGCCGGCCGCACAAGGTTTGACTGTGCGGCTTCCCCAGTGAGGGCTCCGTCCCTGGCCGTGACTGTAGAAGGGCTGGGTTCTTCCGGTCAAGTCTACGCAGATTCACCCTCCTTCACTCGATTTACCTAATGACAAAGCTGTTTCTCTCCACACTGTCTCTGACCCAACCATTCCGGGCCTAGGAGTTTACCCCGCAGCTACACTTGCACACACGCACAACCGCATGCACACGAGGTCCTTTGTTTGTAACCGCACACCGCTGGAAACGGCCTGAGTGTTCCACAGACACCCAGCCCGGGAACTGTAGCACATCCACAGAACTGAATACTATGCAGCAGGGAGAGAGAAAAAGCAGCTCTCTGCACTGATATGGAATACATTCTGAGATCCGTCGGTAAGTTAAAAAATAAACGCAGCAGAGAACATCGGCCTAATTTGATCCATTGGTGTAAAGAGGGAGTTCCGGTTGTGTCCATGTGTGTGAGACGCCTCCGGGAGGAGACAGAAAATGCTAACAGCGGTTGCCTCCAAGGACAGCGAAGCTGCATGACTGCGAGGCAGGGAGACACTTGTTACCCTGTGCCCTTCTGTACCTTCTATATTTTGAATCAGAAAAGCAAATGTATGCATTTTCCCTCCTCTAGGACACACCTCTCCACCCTGCCTTTCTGAGAAAACTGATCATCAAGAGCTCCCACTTTCTACCCCTGCCACCCACCACCACCACTGCAGGCTCCTTACTGAAGAGACACACTCACTGACCCGTTTCCCTAGCAACCGTAAACACCAGCCAGACAAATGGGAAGAGGCGCATTCCGCATACCTGGTACTAAACCTGCCTCGTCATAGCTCGTTGCTTCTCTAAACACGTCCACACAGCCACTTCTGCGGTCTCCACAGGCTTGTCGCAGAGAAGGCGACAGAGAAGGAAGTCTTTGGAGAAGGGAGCTTCTGGGTGTTTCGACTGGTTTTAAAAGCACAAATAAATTCAGATTTGGTTCCCTGCCATGTGTAATGGTGTTGAGTTTCTTTCCGTAGTGGTGTCAAAGTGCTGGTTCTGGGCATCCTTGCCAACCCCAAGCAAGGCAGGAAGGGATGGCCTGACGGAAAACAAGAGCCCGGACAGAGGAGGGGGCTCGCGGTCGTCTTTCGGGGCAGGATCGTCTCTGGAGCCCAGACCTGCCTGGTTTCTGCTTGGCCTCTCAGACTTCCATGGCTGCCTCCCTTGCTATTTTTTCTTGCGTGCCGAATCTCTCTGAAACGAGACAGGACTGGAAGAACGTCCTTGGGGTCAGCACATTGGAGAGCTCCTTTTTGGCCTTCGTTAACCACCCCACTGGGTCCTGCAGGCAGCAAGTCCTAGACAGGGTCCGAGCAAGAGCTTTGAGGAAGGCGTGTGCACACGCAGCTCCGCTCCTTTCCCTGTCGCCTGCACCCAGCGCTCGGGCTACCTGTACCTTGAAGAGGCAGCAACACACAGTGGTTAAGAACAGAAACTCAGAACCAGGCAGACTGGAAATAAACCCCCAGTTCCCCATTTACTACATACGTTCTCTAGAGCAAGTTACTTGACCTTTTACGCTTCAAGTTCCTCACCTTAGAAAAGGTATTCTCCATCTCACCATGGTCATCAGGAAAATTAAAGGAAAAAAACACACGTAATGTACTTAGAACTAATGTTGGGTATATAGTAACTGCTCAGTAAGGATTAGCTATTATTGCTGCCTGACTGTCTACACAACAAGTTTTGAAAAATGGGCAACAGAGCAGCTATAGAAATTTTCTCTCATGTCAATTACAGCATAGGAAATAGAATCAATGATATCTTAATAACTCTGCATGGAGCCAGGTAGGTACTTGAAATATTGGGGTGGGGGGACCACTCTGTAAAGTACATGAGTGTTTAACTACTATGCTGTACATCTGAAACTAATACAGAATAATATTGAATATAAACTGTAACTGAAAAATAAAAATGAAGAAAATAAATAAAAAGAAGAAAAAATGTTTTCTCTCTGAAGCTGCCCAGGGAGCAGTGTTGGGTCGGTGGCAGCCTTTCCCGCCTCCGTGACCCCCCGCCATAGCCCTGCACTGACACGTGCATCTCACCCCGATACCGCGCCATAGCCCCGCAGCGAGATGTGCGTTTCACGTCACCAAAGAGAGACGCCAGGCAGCATGGGGGATGTCATCAGTGATTCCCAAGGTTCTCGAAAGATCCTATGCCAGCTCTTTACTGCCAGGTTTTCTGACCCAGGAGTAAAAACAATGGCACTTTTGGTGTATGCTCTGGATAAAGAGGTAAGAAAAGAGGAAGCCTCCGGTCTTGGGGGGGGGCGGAGAAAAGAGATAAAAGACAACACAGAACTATCCCTAATGTCCCCTCCATTTTGCACAGGGTGCTGAAGGAGAAGGAGCCACTAGGTGGCAGCATATGAGCAGGTGAACCAAAGAGAACCAATGGCCTCCAGCTTTAGGAACCTTTGCACCAATCCCAACCTACAGGTAAGGACAATGGGTATTGTTCTCAAGTGTTTGACAGAGGGAGCAAACAGAAGCCCCTCCATGCCCCTGACTATCCCCTCCCTGGAGAACCCCCAGGGACCCAAGTCTGGAAGGTGGGGGGTGGCTAAGAGGAGAGACACCATTGCGCCACCGCTGTGACTGAGAAACATGCCAGAAGAGCAGGTACCTGGGGCGGGGTCACAGAGGGGATGAAAAGGCACAAGGTCAAGGGATGGAGGTATGTCACTCTCTGCACAGTTCAAGGCCCTCTCGGTAGCACGGCCGTTGGCTCCCAGCATCTCAAACAAAATCCCCTTAGTGCAGTAGTCCCTTCTGTACCTGTGGACCCAAGGAAACCACCGTCTGCCAAACTGCAAAGGTCTTCCGGCACCTCTGTTACCTGCAGGGCAGGCACCACACCTAGGCCTCTCGCCCTTTTAGCTGCCGAACTCAGTGGGAACAGCGATCAGAATGGCCCGAGAAGATACCAGCAAATGAACTGACTGCAAATACGGCCCGTAGCCACAGAGCTATCCCTGGCATTGTTACATGCAGGAAAAGAGAGAACACGTCCCAAGTGCTGGTGAGACCATCTCCGGGCTGAAGGCCATTCTCTGTCAGGGTTTGAAAGGAGACCTTTTGGAGACAGCGGATTCCTCCCATCTTTCTGGATGGAGATCAACCTCACCTAGCAAAACTGCTCCCCACTCAATTCGCCAGCCACCATCTGAGCCAACAGCCTCCGAAGGCAACTGGCCAATCAGATTAACACCTCCCTGCTTGACGCCACTAACCAGATCCCCACCTTACTGCCTGTGACTAACTGGGTAACTGGGGGTATTAGACCACTTAACTAACCACATTAAATGTAGAATGGGTTCTTAATCGCCACTAATTGCTCTGGCACGTGAGATAGGAGAGAGTTAGGGGTGGGAGACTTGTTTCCTTCCTTGATTTCATGTGAAGAAGAAAAAATAAGAACGCTCAGATCCTGAATTTAAGAAGCAAACGTGTATCTGCCTTTTACAGATGAATTATTTACACAGAGCTCACCGACACCCACTGGATAATCTGACCCGGGGCTGGTTGAGTTTGGCCTGTGTTGTCCAAACTAATATCTGAGAATACTCAATGCACTGACAGCAATCTTTCGGCTACATTTCATTAAAACCACCCTTTTTCTGGTGTGTTTTCTCTGTCATCCATGTAGCAAAATAGCATAGACACTGTTTTGCCGTTAACCTCGATATTAAATTTTCCCATACAATGGCCTGTTACATCTCTTGGAAATCTGAATTTAATTCGAAACCGATTGCATCCTTCCCTCTGGTGACTGAAAATGGGAAGGAGAGTTCCTGTGAAGTCTCATTTCCTAAACCCAGACAGTGCGACTCCACGTAAAGTGAGAACAATGCCAAAGGGCGGGGCGGGCTAGATGTGGTCTCCCCTGTTTCGGGGAGATGTTTCACCCGAACATAACATGGCAGGGAGGGCCTAGATTTCAAGTTCTCATTAACTTGCTTTTTGGTAGCACTTCAGCTTCCTCAGTCGAACCACCTTATTGGTGATCGGCTCATCTTGCCAAGTGGCAAAACCGAGGGTCTGAAAGGCGGTGACTAGACGAACTCACACCAAATCTGCTGCAGAAGGGAAATGCAATGACTTCAAATTCTCGGCCTGCTGCTTTGCTTCTCGAATCACTCACGTTCGGTCGCAGTTAGACACCTCCAAATGACACATTTTCAAAATCCACATTCCGTGCTTGCGACACAGCACAGCAGTGGTGTCCAAGCAAAAAGCAAGATGGAAGGGGTGGGGGGAGCTGTGCATGCTCCTGCCTTTTCAAAACCCAGTCTGAAAACAATGGAGCAAAGCAAGAAAGGAAAAAAAAAGACACCAAAGTATGTTCTCTCTCTCTCTTTTTCTTGCATCTTAAGAACAACACTCTCAGATGCCAGGGACAGAGGTGCTTTCATCTTTGGCCAAAAAGAAGCCCTCCCCCCAAGCTGGTCTCCCACCAGGCGTGGCTCGGAAAGGATAAATCTTGAGTGGCGCTGAGTTGCCAATTCCCAGAGCACCAGCAAAATCAGCGGAGCTGACTTTAGAAAAAGCAGCCGTCTACACAGAGGGTTCTCTCTGCTACACAGCCCAGTGACTCAAACTAATTTTCTAGTTTGTGGATTACCATAGTCCCTTGCTCCTCCCCTCCCCTTCTGTCCAGCCATTTCATTTCCCATTAGAATTTACAGAGATTGGGTAGGGAGTTTGAAACTTACAACTAAAAAGAGATTTTTTTTTCTTTCAAAGGACTGGAATTTTTCGCCCTATTTCCTTATCAAAAACTAACTTTAGAAAACATGCTGGGGTGTTTTTTTTTTCTGTTAGTAAAAATCAATGACAATTCAATTCAATCTTTTGAGAAGATTCAATTAATTTTAAGATGTAGCCCATTTTGTGAAAAAAAAAAAAAAAAATCTTATATAATGCCCCCCCAATCTATTAATAGAATGACCATACAACTTATTTTCCAGGTCACTTTTGAGACCAAAAGGGACAGTTATCAAAAACGACTCCAAGACCTCGGGTGTGACCAGGACGAGTGGTCAGTAAGGCAAAATGAGTTGCCCCGTCGCCAGGGCAGCGGGAGGCCGATCCATAGATGGCCTGGCTCGCCGGGCGCGATGTCCCTCTGATGAAGTCCTCTCCTCTGCAGGCCTGACTCCTGGGCAAACCCTGCCAATTAGGCCTTCTTTTCCAGACACGCAGGCAGTTCCGAGGGGCCTGGTGTCTCTGGTGTCATGCTGCTTGTGGGGCTGGCGTCTGTCAGCAGCCGTGTGTGTTCATGTCCCCCGTGGGGCCCCATCGCAGCCTGCCACCCCTCCACCTGGCAGAGTGCCACTGAGGAAAGCATTTCTGTGGCACTGGGCAATAGTGGGCCACCTCCTTGCCTCCTGTGATGGGAATAAATTCCAAGAGTCTTCCAGTGCTGGTCCTCAAAGAGGGCATCTGGTTCTACCGCAGACACTCTTAACCTGATGGTGAGCAGCTGGCCACCGTTTATCCCCCCACGTCTGATCATGGGACAGAAAACACGCTCCAGACGCTCCCCTCCTCCCCACAGTCAGACACTCCGTCCAGCATGTCCTGCCTCGAATCGCCGGGAGCACATGCACGCCACCCACATTTACTGGAAGCTTCCCACGGTAGGCGCCCCCGCTCAGCCCGCCACTGATAGACTCCGCCCCTGGAAAAGCACCTGGTGTCTGGGAACTCGCCATCATTTCTTAGACATCTCCAGGGTGGTGTAATGGGCGTTTGGGGAGGGGGGGCGGAGTCAGAACCTGGAGCTTAGTACTTCCCTCTGTTAGTGCAGCGTTTCTCAACCTGGAGTGATTGACGGTTTAGGCCTGATAATTTTATGTTGTTGGGCAGCATCCCTGGCCTCTAGACACTAGATATCAGTAATACCCAGCACCCCCACCCCCACCCCCAGTTCTGACGACCAAAAATGCTTTCAGATGTCCCCTGGGCAGAAAATTACCACTAGCTGAGAACCGCTGTCTTGGGGCATTTGCGTGTGCTTAGAACCAAGCACTGAGAGGCTGCCCTACCTTTTAGAAGTTTGTGCTTTAACAATAAGGAGCAGCTCAAGGCTAGGCTGGAACACAGACAGAGCACAAATGCCATGAATTCCTTGCTGGTTTAGGAGACAGCAAGCAAGCCCTCACGCTCCGCAAGCACCTTTGAGATTTGCCGTCCGGCACTGCTGCAGAGCTGCACTACGAAACTGACGTTTTCACACAAATAAGCCTGCACTCGCCCATTTGGAGAGCTGAATGACAGCGAATCTCTCTCTGCAGCTTTGTTCACTGTCCCTGATTCCCTTTTCAGTGGCAGGATCCCTGAAATTCTTGGTCAGGACCAAGGGAAATGCTGTTCTACCTCAGAACAAGAAACGCAGGTTCGCAGACACAAGTGCGGGAGACAGTGCAGCGGAAGGCTGCTGCTCGGATCCCCTCCGCTTTGCCGTAGGTCAGGCAGGCGCAGTGCTCCTCCCGGCAGTCCCCAGGCGGACGTGAGGAGTCGGGACACACTGGCATCTCGCAGCTGCGATTTTTCCTGGTCCTTCATGTTAGTTTAGGGGAAAGTTTCCTCCCACAAAATGACTCCCAGGAGCTATCAAGAACCAAAAACAAAAACAAACAAAAAAACCCCACGACACAACCAAAACCTACTGCTTTCTCGGGAGGCCGAGACAGGATGCAGGGTCCAGTGCATTTGTCGTGTTGGCTTGCACGGGCCAGACAGGAGGGCCATCGCCGGCCCTGGTGCCAGCGAGAGCCCGGTCGACACTGCCTCCCATGGGCCTGAATCTGAGGCACCTGGAAGGGTTATTAGCAGGATTGGAACTCATCCCTCTGCTGGGACTAGATCATAATTACAGTAATTTTCTAACAGAGCTCGGCAGTAGGACTGTTTAATCAGCATCTGACTCCCTTGTGCTCCCAGCCCTCATCACTCAAGGAGAGGAGTGGGATGGCTCTTAAAGAGACAGTGCCCGCCTTTCAGCATTTGGAACAGATGTGCCCTAATTGGTAGAATATATCTAAGTCTCGTACGGGCAGGTTGCACTGCCTCCAACAAACCGCCTCGGGCTCTCGCTATTCTGGGCCTTCTGCGGGAGGAATTCAGGTCAGGCTGCTGGTGGGCCTGGCTCCCCATAGCATGGCCTCCAGGGAAGGGACACACACACAGGGCAAGAACGCTGAAGGGTGTGAAGGAACTGCCCCTTCCAAATGGGTGGTATAAAGAAAAAGTGCTTGGCTGAAAGGGCAGGAAGGAGGGACCTGATGGCCACAGGTAATAATTGGGGCTGGTGGCTTCCCGTAACCCAAAGATTCCAGAAGCATATTATGCTCGTGCCCTTCCAGGGGGAAGGAAGCCTTCAAGACTTTCAGGTGATGTCAGTTCTCACACTCTAGCTTTGCCGTCTCTCCCTGTATATTGTCCAGGCCCCTTTCCCTGCTATGTAAGCACAGCTTGTTTTTCTCCTCCTCTGCCTGCAGAAGTGGACCAGGTCTCCCCGTAACGAAAAGGAAGTAAAATTATTCATTCCGCTTATGCGAGTCAGGAGTGCTGTCCCCTAAAAACTGTGGCTCTTGATATCCTTCTGAGTATAAACTGTCTGGATGTATTGTATCTTGAGAGTTGAGGTTGCAGCTTTCCAGCTCCATCACTAAGGTAGAACTGATTTTACCCAAGTTATTTCTCTAGCAAGATTCGGGGACCAGCTCCTGCTGCCCTGTTGGAAGCCAGATACCCACTTGGTCTTTGCGGCAGTTCCTGAAACAGCCCCTTAGAGAGAAGAGCTGGGGCAGGCCATCACTGAGAGAGAGGTAAAGGCGGGGGGGGGGCGGGGGGGGGCGGGGGGGACTTCCAAATCGATGAAGGAAACCTTCAGGAACGGTGGTACAGTGGTTAAGAATAGGAACGAGGACACTCATTTACAGTTCAAAGAAAGGTTACCTTGTGCTGGGCAACATGCCCTCTACAGAGCCGAGTCCCTGCTGGCAGAGGGCCGCCCGAGAGGGGTGGCTTGGGATCGGTGCCCAGGCTTGACTGAGGAAGTCACTATCTCGCACTACAGCGGTTATCTGCTTGGCTTTAGCTGTGTCTCAGCTGGCTGCTCACACACAAATCCGCAGATGCCACTCCAGCCCAACTGAATGCTCCTGCGGCCTCCGTGAGGCAAGCCAGGAGCTGGTCTGTTTCCATTGCTACGCCCATCCCACCTTGCACCCTCCTGGCCCGCTGTCCTCCTCATCCCTAAATACTATAAAAATGCTCAGCAACCACTAAGGCATACAAACATATTCACAAACATGGAGCTAACTGAATGTTCGATCAGATCGTGAACAAGGCCTGGTCACCTCCCAAGCTACCAGGGACGGTACAAGGTGCTTAGGACTTGGTAGTGTGGATTGAAGGCCTCAGCAGTCAGAATACTGGGAACTGTGGAGGAGGTCTGATTTCTGAGAACTGAAAAGCAGAGGGATTTTTTCCCTTGAGTAGTGGTGGTTTTAGCTTTTTAAAAAGCTTCCCCCCCGCCACGGGGGTGGGGTGAGTGGGAGTTGGGGAACAACCTTGTCTTACAGAGCTTATAAAGGACCTCTCACCTGAATATATTCTAACACCATCTAAAAGCATATTTTTAAAAACCATGCTTAGCTCAACTCAAAAGTTTCCTCAGATAGAAATTGAGTGTAATACTTGCTCTGCCCTCCTCATTGGGCACCAAAGTCAAAAAATGATGCATGTGCAACTAATGATTTTCATTCAAGAAATCCCACCCCCCTCCACCCACATACACACATGCACACACACATGCACACACACACACACACACACACACGTTTCCTTCCCCCAAACAAAATGAACCCCATGAGCTTGGGGTCACTTATCCTGAGTAACGGGGGAGAGGACTAGCCTTGGGCTGTGGAAGTGGCTATTGGAAGGAAGGTGGCTACATCAGGCATAGAACCTACCTCAATTCTAAATTCTAACAAAAAAATACTTTCCTACTGAGCAGTGCTCAGTAGGTCACACACAGGGGTCATCAGCCACAGTGGCTAGCCCTTAATATACGAAGGGACAAAGCCAAACCACAGCAAAACAGAGGCGAATGGGATTTCGTGGGTGGAGAAGGAAGTCCACTTTTGCTGCTCCTCTGCAGACTCCACGCCTGCATTATAAGAAAACATCTTCCTTCTTAGGACAGTTCCTTCCGTGGACTACACTCAACTCCGCAGAAGAGAATGAGGGGATGGTTCCTGGCCTTAGAGTAACTGAAGTGCTGTTATATGCACTGCTGCTAATGGATCATTTAAAAAGCTGGGAGTCAGAAAAATTGCATTCGTGTCTTTGAATGGTTCCTGCTGTCCCAGCAGCCTACCCTGCTGGCAGAACTAGCTGCTGAGCACCAACTCCAGGAAGAAAAGGAACAAACAGAAGAAGGCCAACCCAGCTTGCTGTTTTTTGGCTGAGTAGGGAATTGACACAGACCACCTCCGGCTCCTGTCTGGAAGTTTCGAGATCAGAGAGCTTCAGGCACAGCTGGGTTCACAGCTGCACCATTTGGAGCATTGGACTTATTAATATTCATGAGTCATCCCCACCAATCGGCAGAGCGGATGCCATTAGCTTAGCATCTGTCGGGTTTTTGTGAGGGTTGTGTATGGAGTTTTTTTCCCCTTTTAAATGAACTTCTTTTGACATTTTGGATTTGCCTCTGTAGGTTTTCAATCCTCGCCTTGCTCTGCTGCATCATATAAAGGAGAGACTCAGGGGAGGCAGGCAGGAAAGAGGGATGAGTCCCAGCCAGGGCTTTGCATCTGCCTGTTGACAAACTTTATTTCTCTTTCAGCACCTGGCACCTCAGACAGGCTGCGAGGACGGAAGCAGCATCAGGTAAATTATACCTAACAAGGTTCATGCCCATAACCGTGAGTAGAGCTGCATCCTGGCTCTTTGGAAAACAGTCCTTCCTCCAGTGGTGAACTTGAGCTGCACACACAATGCAGGAGAACTGCGGTGCACAGCTCTGAACCATTATTTCCACACTGATAAATTCATGATTTATGAAAGGAACTACTGCCAGCCTCCATTCCCTCCTTCTCTGCTACAGCTTGTTAGACACAAATTGCAACAACAGTCTTAAATAGTTGAATTTTATTTCAGGCCAAAGCCCCTCAACTCTGAACTAAATGCCATGACAGTCCCACAGCTTAGGCTGGTAGTTAAAGAGCCCGCAGACAGGTGGGGCAGCCGGCGCGCGGAGGCGTGGGCAGGAACCGCACACAAACCCAAGTGCAGAGCGATGCGGAGTGCCAGCGGCGCTCTTCTCCTCCCAGCTCTGGCTCTCAGCGGGGAGGAACCGCGGCAGCAGGACGGCAGGATGCCTCGCTGTCTGAAGGAAGGCATGCTGCTCCTCACCCCCGCCCCCGCCCCCAGGTCCTCTCCAGGAAGAAACAAAGCCCTTGCGCCCCACTGGACTGAGCACACGGCCTCCCTGCCGCACAGCAGAGGGGCACTGCGGAGGCTGCAGCCCTGGAGGCAGGGAGCTGTCACTGGGGGAGAAGAAAAGGTTTCAACAAAGACAGGAGCCCATTCCGCCTCTGCAGAAAAGATGGTTGCATCTCTGCTCTATAACCAGAAGAGACAGTGACAGGCCAGGACAGTATTTTCCAAAACAAAGCTCCCCGGGCTGTCTGCCTTTCCTCTGGCCGTGAACAGCCACTCCTCTTCCATGGGTAGTCACGACCTACTTTGTGGGCCCCGGGCCCTACACAGCCAGGCTGAGGCCTCGGGATATGCAGGAAACCCCCATGGCAGCCGCCACAGGACCATTCCGTTCAGTGGTACCAGTGGAGGAAAAGCAAGGAGGTGGGAGAATAAATTTTCACTGCCCTGGCCGTGCAAGGAGGTAGGCAAGGGGCCAGCCTGCCAGAAACGAAGTGCTCCAGGGCCTGCAGCAAAGCAGAGCCAGTGGGAATACAACAGCACAGCAATTCTGTCGGGACAATATTCAATACGGCAGCTTAACATCTGCCACTTACAGATTCCCAAAATCAGTCACTTGGGGCAGTGCTCCTGGGCCTGTTAACAAACATCATAAGAAACTCAGCTCCCAAGGGAGTAAACATGGGATTCTGCTCAAAACCAACAGCCCCTGCACCTTGCGCTTAGCTTACAAACATCTGCACAGTGTTTATTTCTACGGAGAGAGCTTGAGGAGTCGTCGCGACCGACCTCTATGCAACCAACGCGCACAGAGGCACCTGTGAAGCAGCCCGGCCTCGCCAACACCTGCCCTGTGCCCAGTCCCACCCGGGCGCTTGCATCGCCTCGTCTGCATCTCCTCTGTCCACCTCAGAGCAGGCCCTCGAGTTCGGAGCAGAGTTCACTTTTCCAAAACTGTTCCTAACTGACTCGGACCCAAAGGCACAGCATGGTCCCCTCCCAGGGACCTCCTCACAGGCTGAGGATCAGAGGGTCCCTCATCAGGTCTTGCAAAGTCACAGCATGACGGCGAGGTAGGGGGTGGCAGAGGGGGGCTTTCCACGGAGGGGGCCTCAGAGTCAACAACAGGAGCCCACACCTCAAAATGATTCTTTTCCTCCTCAGGAGGCGGTGAGGGCGAACTCCTCCTGGCCGATCTTGGAAAAAAGCAGCAACTAGAAAAGAGTGGGAGAGGGGAAAGAAGGCACAGATAAACCGAGTGAACAGATAGACACACATGAAGACAAACAAAAGGCGGTATGTGCATACAAATGGGTTACTATTCAGCCATAAAAGGGAGTTATGCGCTGACACACACTACAACATGGATGAACCCTGAAAACATCCAAGTAAAAGAAGCCCGTCACAAAAGACCACGTTGTCTTACAACTCCGCTTGCATGAAGTGGTAAATCCACAGACACAGAAAGCAGATTAGTGCTTGTCGGGGACTAGGGGTTGGAGAAAATGGGGAGTCACGTTAATGAGTACAAGGTCCCTTTTGGGGTAATGAAAATGTTCTAAAATTGACTGTGGTGATTAACGGTTGTACAGCGTTGTGAATAAACTAAAAACTACTGAATTGTACACAGAAAGGGTAGATTTTATGGAATGTGAATTGTATCTCAATGAAGTTGTTTTAAAGTGGGGGGAACATAAAGGATAGGACAAATAGGAAAGCCTTCTCTTCTTTCTCCCCCGGTCTCTATAGGACAGCCTGCTACCCAGGGAAGGGTTAACACTGACTCTTGCGCATGGAATGCGGGACACACGCGAGGAGAATGAGGCTCCTTCTGAAAGACTACCAACGCTGCTGCGACTTTCTCCTCTCTATCAAGCGGGCACCTCTCTAGCGCAGGCTACAGTAATCCTAGCTCCTAGCGTCTCAAGAAAGAGAGCTTCAGTTACCTCTTAGGCTGGTCTCCTTTAGCCAAGTGACAAGAGCCCTGCCTCTCTTCCTGGACCCAGCCACAGTTTGACATAGCATAGCGAAGAATGGCATCGGAAACGGTCATGGGGCTTTGGCCTTGGACACAGGCTTCTATCTCGGGCACCGAGAGCTGGCTTTGCAGGAAGAGGTGTAACTGGCTGTCTGACAGGAGGACGACGCTCTGCAGGACCCTGGGGCAAACACAGGCGGGACAACACACAGCATCACCCCGAGGACTTGCTCTCCCCGGCCCCAACCTCTGAAGGACTCTGGCCCGAGCGAGCATGGGGGTACAAAGAAGGGGTCCACCCCAAAGCGCCTGCATGCTCCGTGGGCTGTGCTGCCGCTCCCCGCGCCCCTCCCCGCCCCGCCTCAGAGGCCCGTGCCGGCCGGCCGGCGCGCCCACTTACTTTTCGAGGAAGTGCTGCAGGCCCTGTCGGCGCTTCTCGATGAACTCATCTGAGCCGCCAAAGAAGGCTGACTTCCCCGGAAGTTCAGGGACAGGCCTGTGGGGTCACATAATGTAGCGCCCAAAATAAGGGTCACATCCGAGACTGTCACTTCAGCCCCTGATCAAGGAAATCCTCCCAAAGGAGGCACAAATCAATACACACGGCTTCTAATCAGATGGCAGGGGTGGGACGCTAACCACGACTGACCGCATGCCTTGTGCCGGGGACTACGTTTAATGTTGTACACACCTTATTTCATTAATCTGCCCCAAAACCCCACGAGAAAGACATTAGCGCTCCCATTTTACAAGGAAATAACAACTGGAGAAGTTGAGAAAATGTCCCAGTGCACACAGCTAGTAAGCAGCAGAACTGGTACGAAACAGGCCTATGACTTCCAACCCCATGCTCTATACTACACTGTTTACAAAACCCTCGCCCACCCTCAACTATATTCTTAAAAGGGAGAGACTCAGACATAGAGACACAGAGAATGCTGGGTCCTCATGTGTCGATTAAGACTCCCTATGCCAATCCCAGAAAGTCACACGCTTGGAATTTCCTAAAAGTAGCTGAGTTGTCATCCACACACTCCAAACCTCCTTCGCCTCTCTTGTGAGGCTCAGCACACAACTCTGAAAGACAACGGCAAGGCTAGACAGGCAGCTTGTCGGGGGGAAGCTCCGCCTGGCTGAGAGGGCCAGACCCAGGACAGTGTCCTCACCAGTCCCACATGGTAACTCACTAGCTAGGTCGTCAACAGGCCACCCATCACCAGAGCATTTGTGACCATTCTGTGGTGGGATCACTGTTCTACACTGTCTCCAGTGTTAGGGCTTTCCTAAGGTGTGGGAGCTCTTTCCTAAGGTTCTCAGCCTGTTGTGTCTCTGAGAAAAGGGCTTTGCACCCCAAAAAAATCACAATTTTTACATGTCAAATGGACCAGATCACCCGTCAAATAAGTCCAGGTGCTAGAGTTCCCGATAACCAGTGACAAGAACATTTATAATGCTAGCAGCACATTTGTTTAGCTCTATACTAATACACACACAAAAAATATGTCTGCTATTCCTATGGCACAGTTAGGTCAAAATACTAGAAATAAGAACTCTGTCTTTCCTTTTTTCACTGATTTAGAAACATACTTTAAGAACACATTTCTCAAGTTCTTTAGTGTCTGGCACGTTGCCACATTTTCCCCACTGTCAACTCTTAATCCCCAAGTAAGCATCTAAAAGCCAGCCTCAGACCCCCAAAGAAAGCACACGCAGACTCACACTAAACCAGCGTTTCTCTGTAGCTGCTTTCTCAGCCACACGAACTCACGGTAACGGCGACGTACACAGGACGTCTTGGCAGTGAAGGCTTTGCTGTTGGTCTGCAGGAAAACGTACATGAAAGGGGTTAGCAGAAAAAGACAAAGAGCACGCAACTCCCCATCATCACTCTCACTGCGGATCTAAGCCACAGGCCACAGTCCTGCTCACAGGCTGCACCCAGAGCAAGGTGCTACCAGCCTGCAAGCAACTCTCAGGCGCGCCCACGCTCTCGCTCCTCTCCTCCCTCCTTTGTCTCTGTCTCGGGCCTGTCAAAAACACCCCCAGACAGGTTCTGCCTCAGCACTGTCCCTCCGCCCTGGGAGTGTTGATCCCAGTATAGAAGTGTGATGCACTTACATGGAGGAAGATCTTGTAATCCACGTAAGAATTCCAGGAGCCCTCATTCTGCACACGGGGGTCCTGAACACGCACAGTGATCACCTCCTGGAGGTAAGAAATGCTCCGTCAGCTTCAGCTCGGCCGCACAGTAAGGCAGCTTTGACAACACAGGCGGGCAGAGTTTTCCAAACAGCACCAACTTTTATTCATTGGTTCACTAAATTCAACAAATGCTTATTGACCCAGGATATGCCAGGCGCTCTTCTAACACACTGGGGGGAAACCGCAATGAGACAAAAATCCTTGCCCTCACGAAGCTTACAGTCCAGTCTATTCTAAGGAATGGAAAAGTCAGTCAAAACGGAAGCTCGTTTCCCAGAGATGCCTTTACCACTGATTTCCTTCTCCTGGCTCTACTTGGAGCCCATCAGAATCGCCAAGGCGTTCCTGTCAGAGGACACCTCAGAGCAATGACTCGCATCTTCCCCTAAACCCCCTCAAACTTGCCCACTGCTCCCTGGAGACCACTTGCTTACCTCCGGCTCTTGGTTCTCCAACATCCTACACCAAAGGCCCATTGGAAGAAAACATCTGAAGAGGGACAGTTGACAAGGGAACAACTGTGGTTAGTGTGCTTCTATTCTTATCAGTCCTTACCAGGGCAAAACCCTAAAAATTTTCATCAACCCTCCTGGGGAAACCCAGGCACCTCTTTTAGTTCTCCTGTACGACTTAAGAGGAAGCAAAAAAACTCCCCCACATCAGGACAGCTACAAGCCCTGGGGGTTTGCCTCCCTTTTCAGACCACAGCCAAGACCCTTAACTATGCCACCTCTAACCAAGGCACGTTTGGGTCTGTGCGGTGTTGGCCTCGAGCCCCACGAACAGGGAGGTTGGGTGGCAAACCCTGTCTGCCCGAAGACTGCAGGCAGAGTGGCCTTGTGGGCACACACAGCACAGCTTTGCAAGGGAACCTAACAGCGCCCCCTTCTGGCTGTTCAGGCAGCCAAGCCCCCCCCAAAACACAGATGCTCCTAAGTCTCTCTTTGTCTTGTTAACCAGTCCTCTCCCCAGAGGTAAATCAGAGTCTGACAGCACCAGGAGCACCCCAATAGTGGGTTACCCAGTTCCGACCTTCCCTTATCTAATCATTTATTCTCCAGACCGCAAGCCCAAGCTTCTAATTATTTCCTTGCTGGACATGCCACCCGGTTTGTACCTCTGCCCAAACGCCCCACAGCTACACAGGTCGACTCGGGATGTTTTCCACTCCTTTGTAAAGATTCATTAAAGCCTAAGCTGCTGATTTCCCCCAACGTGGTACTTTACATATGCAGCGACATGGCCCACTCCAACAAGGGGACCATGAAGGCTGCAGCACAGGGTTACTCAAGTCCAAAGGGGCCCATGATGTCACCTTCTGTTAAAATACAGCACTAATCTTATCACTGCTAGAACCACTCCGACAGCAACCACCCTGGCTGCCACCTGCACCCCCTTCTCCTCTCTTAAGAGCAGAACAATAAGGTTTAATTTCCCTTTTCAATTTACCTTGAAATGAAAACTGACTTCAGCCAATATGTACTGCCAACAAATGATCTGCGTTGGCTCCCGGGAAAACAAGACTCTCTAAGATCTCCCTCTCCTCCCCCCATGCCCATTCACATCCACTCATTTTTACAGTCCCACAATTAATTTTAAACACATTCCCTTATTAGTTCTGCCTTACCATTAGAAGAGCGTGTAATGAGTTTCTTTCTCTCCTATGTTTTGCTAACACAAGGCAAATGTTTCAAAAGAAGGGGAACTCATTTACACCACAAAATTAGCAGAGCAAACAGCTTTTCGAATTCTTTCCAATGTACCAGGAGGTCTCTCCACACAGACACTGCACTCAGAGAAAAGCTGCACAGCAGATAAAAAAAAAAAAAAAACGGGCGACACAGTCAAGCAAACCGAAGGCTTTATGATTGCAGTACCATCTTAAACAGCATTCCTGCTGACCATCTAGTTTTTGTCTGATGCAGTCGCCACTGCAAAGGGCTCCTGAACTGAAAAAATAGCAATCCCAAGGCCGTTACAACCAAGGCATAAAAGCCCAATGTAGGCACTCAAACGGCTGTGACCAAAAAGAGCAGGCCACCTTACTATGAAAGATGAACCTACTCAGATTTTAAAATACTTTTCCCTTTTTTTTCCCCAGGCATTAGGTAAATTGCCAGCACAGGAGCAGAGTTAAAAGATTCCATAGTGTCTTTTCACAGAAGTAACAACAGGAAAGACCATGCCAAGGTCCAGGGAGCTCACACACCTCCTGCGCCTTGAAAGGTTTACCAAAGACAGAACTATAACTTAGTAACTAAATGCTCATCACTCTCTTGGACTCAACAAGAGTTTGCCTAGGGCCCTGTACCACCTCCGCTGCAAATTCCTCTCCTTTCCTTTGGGGCTAATGCCACTTAGAAACAAATAGCTATAAACAGATTTAAAAAAAAAAAACAACCCATGACCCCTGTCCCCCAAGATGCTGTGTACTTAAATCTAAATTCAAAGGTCACTAAGAAAGTTTCAGCTGTAACTTTCCTTAAAAACACTGGAACAAATGCAAAAACCTAGACTTCAAGTAATAGTTTCTAGCAATCTCCATTAGCTTCCTCTCCTCCCCATCGATGCCACTTCCTCAGAAGGAAATGAAGTCCAGTTCTCCAAAAAGGAAGAAGTTCTAAAGTTTAGCTCCATGATCTGGGAGATGGAGCCATCTGTCATCCAAATAAGGATAGAGTCCGTGACTCTCTCCGCTACTTATGCAACTCAACGCCAACTCCATTTCCTGTGCCCTTTCAACCACATCTGAAGCTTCCTTTCCTTTCTCCCTCTGTGCCAGCACCAATAACTGCAAGAGGAATCTAGTTGTTTGCCATCTGCCAAGTAGATTCCTCGTAAAACTTTCCCATGTCACAACAATTCAAGGCTTCAGCTCCACGCTTTTCATTCCCATTTAAACTACTTCAAGAGACAGGTTAGAAAACCAATCAGGTGGTAGAAGTATATTGAGCCACCGAGACTCCCATCCCTTCTTACCTATTCTTGAGCCAGACGCAACTCGAAAAGCTCTCCTTCCTGAGCCCCCACAGGTGGCAAAGGAAGCTTCCTGTCTGACCAACCTCCGAGTGTTCTCAACCAGCTCTGCTCCATTCTTTTGGTCCCTCTGTAATATGCCACTCCTTCCACTTGGAAGGTCAGTCACAAAGGCTACCGCAGTCCAGCGCAAGGGCCTCCCCTGTCCCCCTAAAATCCTTGTCCACTGTCCCTAGTCCCAGCCGTTTGGGTAAAGACACACAAACTCTTTGGCTCCGGCCACTCCCCCTCCGTTCTTAACGAACTAGGAGCAAAGAGCCACATGGTGCTTCTTCTTCTTTCCTATTAATCTTGGGGAGTGGGAAGGAAAGATGCTTTACATTCCTTTAAAAATAAATGCAAAAGCCGGGTTTCCTTCCCTGGTTCCCGAGCAAGTAACGGCCTTTATTACGGAAGGAAAGACAGCCCCTAGGATGTCAAGCGAAATCCCCATCCCAAAAGTCGCTACTGACGCTTAAGCCAGCGACCCTCACCTCAAAGCAGCACCTGCTCCCCGCGGCCGCGGCCCCGCCCACGCTCCCTCACCTGAGAGCAGCACCCACTCTCCACAGCGACACCGCCAGCGCCCCACCATATAGCCGGTCTCGGCTTCTCCTTCCGGGTGAGTGGCCGGTGCCCCAGTGCACGACGGGAGACGGCTCCCGACACTCCAATCCGGGGTGCCCAGGACGCCCCACCCCTGCAGGCCCAGGCTCTTAGTGGCGAGCCCTCTACCCCCGAGGCGCGCTTGGCCCCACCCAGGCCCTGGCGGCAGTCGGGACTGCGCGCCAATCATTCCGGGTGCTGGACGGTAAACACCGGTGATGGGTGACCCCGGAGGTTCTGGCGTCCAATCCCGGGCAGCGTCCCGCCCATCGTCGTCAGTCCATCCAATCAGCGGCCAGGGGGAATAATCAACGGTCTGAAAGAGGGTCCGTGGAGCCCAGGGGCTGAGGGGAGGTTGTCCTTGGGTTTTTGGTTCTGCGAGGCACGGTCTTGATTGTGGGAGGGTTATGGAAGAAAACGCCCCTGCTTTTGGAGTTTCGCAAATTCCAGAGAGTCCCCAATTCAACCCGGGTGGTTGCAGTTCCCTAGCGGAGTTATCAGAAGACTCCGACTCAGGTTCGTAAAACCCCAGATTGTCAGAGCGAAAACCGGGACTGAGATGGTTCAGCAACGTTTCACTCACCTAAAAGACCCCAAAGAAGGATGGTGCCGCTTAGTTCATAACAATGAGCATTCTGTTGAGTATGACGAAGACTTTCTTCTGTTGTTGAAATGTCTTTTAATTACCAGTTTAAAGATAATGTTAGAAAAGATAATATCGAGGAAAAGGGGTCACAAATACAAGCTCTGGAGCCAAGTACTATACCCAGCACTACACTGACCCCGTGGCCTTAAATTGTCCCTAAATCTTTCTAAGTCTTAGTTTCCTCATCTGTAAAGTGGAGATTACTGCACATACTTCAAAGCAGCTTTTCTTGAATTTTGTTGATCTCAGGATCCTCTTAGAGTCTTTTTTCTTTTTCTTAATTGATTTTTAGAGAGAGAGAAACCGAAACACCCATGCGTTCCACTTATTTGTGCGTTCATTTGTTGTTTCCTGTGCGTTCCCTGACGGGAGGTGGACCCTCAACTTTGGTGTCTGAGATTGCTCTAAGCAGCTGAGCTACCCTGCCAGGGCTCACTTTATATTCTTCAAAAAGATTAAGAACCCCAGGGAACTTTATTTTTATGTGGGATATTCACCAAATCAGAAATTGAAATTGAAAAATTAAAAACATTTATTTAGGGTAGTGAAATACACAAGACAATATGCAGGTGATGTATTATAGAATTATGTACCTGAAACCTATGTAATTTTATTAGCCGATGTCACCCTGATAAATTCAATTAACTTTTTAAAAAATATATGTATTAATTCACCCAAAACAATAATAAACCATTACATATTAAGATAAAATATATTTTCACACTAAGGCACATCATAATTACATTAGCCAAGATTAAAATGAAGGAGAGAATCCTAGAAGCAGCAAGAGGTAAGGAGACAGTAACCTACAAAGGAGCTCCCATCAGACTGTCAGCTGATTTCTCAAAAGAGACCTTACAGGCAAGAAGGGGCTTCAAATAGCAAAGAAGTATTTCACGTCATGAAAGGCAAGGACCTACATCCAAGATTGCTCTATCCAGCAAAGCTTTCATTTAGAATGGAAGGGCAAATAAAGTGCTTCTCAGATAAGGTCAAGTTAAAGGAGTTCATCATCACCAAGCCTTTATTATATGAAATGCTAAAGGGACTTATCTAAGAAAAAGAAGATAGAAAACATGTACAGTAAAATTACAGCAAACACAATTATTAACAACCACACCTAAAACAAAAACAAACTAAGCAAACAACTAGAACAGGAATAAAACCACAGAAATGGAGATCACATGGAGGGTTAACAACAGGGGAGTGGGAGGGGGAGTGGGAATGGGAAAAGGTACAGAAAATAGGTAGCATAGATGGTAGGGAGAAAATAGACAGGAGGAGAGCAAGAATAGTACAGGAAATGTAGAAGCTAAAGAACTTATGACACATGGACATGAACTAAAGGGGGGGTTGTGGGTGGGAGGGGTATGCAGCGTGACGGGAAATGAAGGGGGGAAATGGGATAACTAATAGCATAATCAAAATATATTTTTTTAAAAAGAATATATTTTATGAACTAGAGCTACACTTTTAAAAACAAATTGAGTAGAGTGGCATTGTATTATAATTTTGCAAATTCCTTTAATGTCTGGCTTAACAGAAAACAGCTGAATTATCATATTTGCTTCCCCATTCTCTGTTGTACTATGTTATTTAGGTCTGGGAAATGAGGAAATCATATCTCACACAGATTTTTTTTAGCCTTCTTCAATTATTGTGGATACCCTTTGATATTAGCAAAACTCAACAAACAGTAGTTCTTAAAGTTTAATTACAATGGTGTATCTGAAAACATTTGGAAAATACTGGTTTAGTAAGTAATGCAGATCTTCCAAATATTGGTGCATTTCATTGTTTAATATTTTTTAAAAATCACATTTATTAAAATGTGACATTCAGTGAAGCTGTTAATCTCACTTTGGTGAATACCATATTTTCCAAAGTTACCATTTTGGCTTGAAAGCTCAAATATTGAAATAGGATACTTTCTGTCATTTTCCTCAGAGCGGCAGGCTCATTTCACTCAAATATCCTACTTTGAATAACCATAGCTTTTCTGCCAGTCATTTTTTCAAACAAAAATGGTGTTCTGTGAAATAGAGCAACTAGTTCAACTCACACTTCTCAAACAACTGCACAGCCATATACTTCAGTAAACAGAAGTGTTTTATATACACTTTCCATTTCATCACAGAGAACATTAAAAAGACATATACTCCAGGAAAGAGATTTCATAAAGTTCATAATTTGTACTGTCAAGGTTAGTCTTAAATGAAAGTGGCACCTGTTAATTTTTTGCATAGGGGTGGCCGTGGAGAATATAATGACACTACTGTAAGTTGATGCCATGCTGACTTGATTCACACTAAGATGCTGGCCGATTCACCCACTGTTACCTTTGTACCATCAGTGAAAATGTCAGCGCTGGAAAAGATCAAGTAATATCCTACTATTACTAGGAAAATAGTTTTGACCATGCAGACTTGCCTGAAACCTTCTCAGGCACCCCAGACTATGGACTACACTTGGAAACCATAGATTATATCTGCAGAATGTATCCATTCATTCAACCAATATTTAATGAGTCCTTTCTATGAGCTGGGCACTGTTTTAGACATTAACAAGAAAGCAGTGAGCCGAACAGAAAAATATCCTGACGCCCTGGAGCTTATATTTTAAAGAGTATAAGGGCTTAGCTTAGTACCATCCACCCAGAATATTACTCAATCACTGTTTCAAAATACATTTATTAAATAATTTGAATGTAATATAAATTTCACAGACAGGTGGAGCCCTATCCGGAGCTTGATTTTTTAAGAATAATTTCCAACACTTGATAATGGGGCCAATCCTTATACCAGAAATGCTAGCGAAGGATATAAATACTTCTCCAAGCAGTAATCCCTTCACTTGAAGAAAACTAATCAATGTCAGGGCTAAGGGTGTTTATTGCTTTTCCTCCTGTATGAACCCCACCCCAGTGGGCACTGAACTTGCAACCCAGGTGTGTACGCTGACTGAGGATCAAACCTGCAATTGTTTGGTGCACAGGACAAGGCTCCAACCAACTGAGGCACCCCACCAGGGCAGAAGTGGAGGTTTTAATTATCACCCATTACTTCCTGGAAGTCACATGAGAATCAGTTTGACAAGGGGAAGTAAGAGAATCAGACAGCTCTTAAGGATATTTGCCTCTTAAAAGAGCGCTTGTTAACCCCAAATGAATAAAGCTTTGGCAATAGAATTTCAAGTAGTAATCAGTGAAACAAAGACGCTCACACCCAGTAGGATGGTTGCTATTAAAAAGGAAAAAAAACCCTGAAAGCCCCTCTCCGGGAACAGCTGAAATCCTTGTGCACATTGGAAGTGTAAAACAATGACGCAGCCGCTGTGAAAAATGAGACAGGATAGTAAAGAGCTAGGAAAATTCCTAGGCAAGTACAATGGGGAAACTGAGACAAGAAAATTAAACAAGGCCAAACAGCTTGAGCAACTTACAGCCAGCTGGTGAATTCTAAGGCCTTATCTCCCCTAACCGAGGACATTGGAGAGCAAATACTTTATACCTGTCCTCTCTAACCAAAGAATACATAGCTTAAATCTCTCTGGTCTGGGAAAATGAAGAACAGAGACCCAATTAATGCCATTTGTGCCAGCTGGCACACTTTGAAACCCAAGGACAGATAAAGTCACGGGAACAAATAACAAAAACCCCATGAAAAGCCAGACAGACCGAAGATAAAAGTAAAACAGTGCAGCAGACCAAAGAATATTCCCACCCCCACCCCCATACCTCATGTGGACTCATCGACGTATTAAAAATGCACCCGAAAGTTGATGAATATTCCACTGAAACCCTCCCCTAGAACTCTCCCCTGGGGTGGGGGGGAGATAAAAAGCCCCCAGGACAAAGACGCAGGAAGGGTTCACTCTAGAGCTCCCCCATGCCCCTTGCAAGGCAGGAACTTTTTACTTCCCCCCTAAACTCTAAGGGTCCTCATGAGATTTGCAGCCAGGGGAGCAGTGGACAGCGGTGACCCAGGTAACCCCCGGATCCTGTCTCCAAGGGCCCCTTTTTCTCTGACTTCCCCGGGGGGTTAAAAGCAGCCAAGCCTTGGCTCCTCCTTTCCTAGGACATTTGTAGGGAGCCAAAGCTGAGCACCACCTATCTCTTCTGTTCCTCTCCTGTAACTTCTTCCACCCCAAGTCCCTCCTTTGTCTCGCTGTCCCCAGCTTTAATAAACATACTGTCCAAATCACCTGGACTCCTGTTGTGAAACCTCTCCTACATGAAGTCAAGAACCCACACACTACAGGCCGGCCCGAGGCCCTGTCCAGTAATAGAAAAAGAGTATGGCAGTTTCTCAAATAAATAAATAAATAAATAAATTACCATCTGATCCAGCAATTCCACTTCTGGGTACAC